TGCTATCTTGCGAAGCCAGAACCCTGCCTTAGGTGCTCCGCATGTACGCAACCAAAAGGATTACCACCACTTTCAATCCCACCTGCCATCATGATCCAGTAACCAAAAATTTCCTCTTCATGTTCCTGTCCCCAGAATTTCGGGTGAAGGACAAATCTTGGTCGAGTTTCCGACCGATCAGTGTCACATAGATGGACGGAAATGCTCTTGGAGGGAAATCTGGCTCAGTTGAAGGGAGAAACTTCCCGTTTTCACTTCCAGCGTTCGCCTTTCACAAGGCCCGTGGAGCAAATCTCTTTGATCCTCTGCTGCTCCTCCTTCTGCAATTCCAGCTGCTTGTGGAACTTCTTAAGAACTCGCTCAGCCACGGCCTTGGATCCCTCGAGTTGCTGCGCCAAGCGCGCCGATTCCGCCTGCGCCTCGTCCCACTCCCACCAGCTGCACTCGTCTTGCTAACTGGGCTGCGGGGATTCCGCCAAGTGATCTGTCATGAAAACGAAAAAAACGTAATCAATATTCGAGGAATATTGAAAGAGCTACTGCAGATGTCGTAAATGGAACAAAGGTACATTTTCCATAAAAAAATAGATGAGGAAATCAGGATTCTAAACCCCATATAACGTGTTCTCAGAATACCTCGTCTGTAAGCGGTCTTCAGCTTGGCACACTGTGCCTTTGTCATGCGGAAAGTGCACTGCGATTTCCAGCCCTTGGATGACATGATCTCCGAGAGCTCGAAATCGACGGTCACCATCGCTTCTAAAAGTGAGAGCCCTCTTGGGAACTTCTGAAGTCCTTCTTTAGAAAAACATGCGATGAGGAATTAAGGCTTTTGGAAACCGACAAGAGGAAACTAAAAGCGAATCGGCTTTGCAGGCAGAAAAGTGTGTGCTTCTTGTGGAAATGAAACAAAAGCTGAAAGAACTCTTGGAGCAAGCAAGCAAAAGAGGAAAGGTAATTGTGATGTGATGGGAACGAGTCACGCAACCTTTTCTATTTATGCCCACCGCTAGCCTAGAAATGCAGAATCGAATGTCCTCCCGCTGAGGGATGTGAGATCGAGTCGCACGGATGCAACAAAATTAGGGAAGTTATATTGTTGTTGGCGTAGGTCTAGCGGATTTGCCAGAGAAAACACGCAGGTCGAGCTCGTCTGGTCGAGCTCACCTAGACCCACGCGGAAGCGGCGCAAGCTTGCGCCGAGTAAGAAAACCCCCACCGCCCCAAGGGCTAGGTTCGGCCTGTCCGTGAAACAGTATTCTGGCCAAACCGATTTGTGCGTGAAGTGCAACTGGCAAGGCACGTGCTCTTGCCAACGTCAAGGAGCATCCGTTAATTGATGTGCACATTTTGCGCAAACGGTTTATGCTGTAGGTGCTGCTCATGGCACTCCTCGCACTCCCTTCTTTGAGGGGTGTTCCCCCTCCCCATCTCGCCCCCTCTTTTGCTTCTGCTGCTGCTGTTGACTTCCTTCATGCGGAGGAGGTCGGGGCTGCGTCTGCTCCTAGTGGGAGGCACCGTAGCGGCAAGGGCAAGGGAGGCAAGGATGGTGGGGGTGGCAGCGATGAAGGCGGTGGAGGCGGTGGAGGTGGCGGTGGTGGCAGAGGGAGTGGTAGTGGGAGTGGAGGCGTTGGTGGCGGCAGTGGTGGCAGCACTGGGAGTGGTGGCGGCGGCAGTGGTGGCGGTTGGGGTGGAACCGGTCAGAGGGGAGGTTCTGGCGGTGGTCAGCGGCAGCAGCAGTAGCGTCCGCGCGAGACCCCTACGCTCCAGGAGCTGTGTGTGGTTTGCTTAGCGTGGGGCGTCTTGGGGTAGTGTTCGCTGCCAGTACGTCATTTGCACAGGTGACCGTGCTGGTCAGACATGCGGGAAGGTTGGTCACACACAGTACCGCTGCTTTTCCCGTCTTGACGACGCGTGGCGCGCAGAGTTTTCCGACGCGACTGAGCCCCCCCACTGCCTAGAGCTGCTTAGGCAACGTGTGGATATCTTTGCTCTTGACTATGATGCTATCTGTGCTGTTACCTGTGCGTGCCATGTATAGAGGCTGCCGTTCTAGGTGCTAGTGAGTCTGCTCTTCCTGATACTGCGCTTGCTGAGGCCATGGACACCTTCACCCTTGACTTAGATGCTTTCCGCAGTTTCTTTCCCGACAACCACAATCACACCACTCCCTGCACCTGTTGCAGTCAGGCTGGCTAACCCCTCAGATGCCCAGTTCTTGCACGTTCCTCCACTGTTCTCCCATGTCCGGCGGTTCCGTCCGACTCACTCTCAGGTCTTCACCTCCCCTCGTTCACCACAAACTTGGTGAGTACCGCTGCCCTCCAGGATGCGATGGTCACTACCACCATTCCTGGAGGTCAGCGTATGTCGATCAGCACGTGTACACAGACGGGCCGTCACTTGGCCACATTCACCCGTCGGCCTGGGTCGAGTCTGTACACACTGACTACTGAGCCTCCTCAGGTGGCTGTGCCTGGTCAGGTGTCCGCGTCAGGTCCAGTAGCAGCTAACACCTGTCACACCAGACTCTCCTTTGGCACCACCGCCTTGGTCACCCCTCCCTGCCACGCCTCTGTGGCATGCAGCACTCCCGCCTCCTTGTCTCTGGTCTTCCCAAGTCTTTGCCTCCCCTCCCACCCTCACCTGCCCCTCCCTGCCTTCCCTGTGTCGAGGGGCGGCAGCGCGCCGCTCCTCACTCCTCCTCATTTCCCCCGACGACTGCTCCCCTGCAGACTCTCCACATGGATGTGTGGGGCCCAGTCCACGTCCGTGGACAGGGCCGCGAGCGATACTTTCTGCTGGTTGTTGACGACTACTCGCGTTACACCACGGTCTTCCCCTTGCGCAGCAACGGGGGGTTTCCAGATGTTTTGATCCCTTGGATCCGTGCTGTCCGTCCCCAGCTCTGCGATCAGTTCCGCGAGAACCTTCCTGTCCTGCGTCTGCACTGTGACATAGGTGGTGAGTTCGCTTCCGACCTCTTGCGGGACTTTGTCGTGGGGTTGCTGAGCACTGCATTGGCTTAGTCATGGAGGTGGCTCGTACCTCCATGATCCATGCGGTCCGGTACGCTGCGCATCAGCTCAACCTCTGGCCCCGTGTCTCCTTGCCGGATACCTCGCCTACATTGTGTTGGACGGGGGAAGTTGGCAATGCGTTGGTGTTCCGGGTCTGGGGCTCTCGTGCCTTTGTCCCCGACACCTCCGCAGACAAGCTCTCCTCCCGCGCTATTCCATGTGTCTTCCTTGGCTTTCCCCCTGACGCGCTTGGCTGACACGTTTACCACCCCACCACACGCCGTGTCTTGCCCTCTCAGGACGTCACGTTTGACGAGTCGGTTCCCTTATACTGTCTCTTCCCCTACCGCACTGCCCCTCTCCCCCCCCCCGCCGCTCTTCCTCACACCAGGTCCCCAACCGGTAGACCCCGTCCCCCTCAGGGTCCTGCTCTCCTCGGGGTCCTGCATTGCCACAGTAACTACGAGTATACTCTACTCGACAATTACCGAGTGTGCTTATTGGGTGGTCAACAGTCGCGGCCTTTGACTTCCAGCGACTGTTGACCTTCGGGTCTGGGCTGGTTTCAAATTTAGGTACCCTTAGGAAAAAAAAAAAAAAAAAAAAAAAAAAAACCCTGAAGGCACACTTTCCTGAAAAATAGCACCGTGATTGCTTAGGGTTGAGAAGTAGTGGACTCTGAATGTTCAGGGTCGAGAATAAAAAATCAGGATCGTAGTAACGCGCTCTTTCTTTACTGGGGAAAGAAGTCTCACTCAATAAGAAGTCTCAATATTTACCCTAATCGCAACATCTGCTCAAAATCTGACAGTCTACGGGGATTTCAAAGAGAATCTGCCTTGACCTAGCGCAAAGGGATTTCCGTACGGAGCAAAGGTCGAATCTCTTGTTGATGTCGCAAGGGTGACTGTGACTGGCGCTCTGCACAACCCGTAGCCAGTCACGCCCATTCATCCGCCCTCGAGCAGCACCTCCCTTAGAAGCACACCTCCCAAGCAGCAAGATGCCATACACTGTGAGCAAGTATACTCATTTTGGCGAGCTTCACGCGCATGTGGAGTCAAGTCAGAGTAAAATTTGAAACGAGTTTTGTTTACTAGACCTGATCTTGTGTTGTTTACTAAGTCAAGCTGGAAAAAAAAAAGGTTCGGAGCAGTTGGCCGAAGCAAACTGGTTCCACATGTAACATTGCCATTGTTTTTGAAGCGAAACAAAGATGCGAGGAGAGAATATACGGATTGGGAATGGAGAATGAGAGGAGAGAAGAGAAGGGCAAGGCTCACAGATATCTAAGATTTGTCATGGATCCAATCTAAGCAAATTGTGTTGGAGTGACCTGAATGGAAGAACAGGCATACGGGATGTGGCATATGAAGAAAACAGCATGGAAACTGGAATGGCATGACGGCCACCAATTGAGAAAGGCCAAGAATGAATATGAGGCTGATGATGGGGAGATACCTTAAAACCAAGAACAAACACGGGCTAAAATCACAGTAGTGGACACGTCGTAGGTTCCGTTGGGGATTTGACCCCTGGTGAAAAGAACCACTGCCGTTGGACTTGAACCCTAGAATGGTGGAGAAAGCTAATATATTGTGTTTTCTGATCTGTGTTGTGCGTTGGCGTTGTATGAATTTTTGGCCACCTGTACCCTTGGTAAAATTTCATGTTCAGTTCAGGTTCATGATCCAGTTTGTTTCTTAGACTCAACACGGTGTAGGTTCTGTTGGGGTTGCAACTTTTTACATTGATTTGTGATTGCAAGATCCTAACTTGTAACATATAAGACTCAAGTACAAGGGTCAAACTCGAACCATAGCCCCACCCATTTCGGTTCTCCCTGAAGCAAATTTGTTCGGTTCAACGAGGGGACGTTCAACTCGACCAAGTTTGCCCCAACCTGATTAGAGTTTGTTTGGCCAAGCATTTGATTAGCTCAGCTTGGTTCTGTGCTTCCCTAATATTTGTCGCAGGTTTATGAGGACTTTTGAAACGTGTAACCAAGTTAACCAGGAGCAGTGAGTGTTGTGATCGAGGAGGGCAAAGATCCTGACAGCATGTTGTAGTCAAGAACACAGAGGGGTGGACGCATGGAAAGAAATATCCGAGTCCATTTGTGTGTTTGCAGGACCAGAGGAACATACATAATATGAACATGGAATGCTTGTATAATTGTAAACGTTATATCCATGAAGGTATTGTGAAATGGAAAATTGTGACTGACTATCATAGCATGATTGGAAGTTTTTCACAAGTTTGTAGGGTGTTGCCGTTTGAATCGTCCATGGCACCAGTGTGAGGAAGCGGGCATCTCATTTCAGAATGTCATTCTCTAGCCTGTAGTGGGGTGCTCTATAGTGAGTACAACCCATCTAGGGTTTGCTATATGTATCCTCATTGCTGCTAGTGAGACCCCTCTTCTTCATTCCTCATTTTCTCACATGGTATCAGAGCGACTACGCTCCTGGCCTGTGGGCCCACCTAATTGCTTCCGCTGCTACTCTGTGTGCTTCACGCCCCTTGGCGTGCCCCTAGCGACCACGTCGCCGCCCTTCGCGGCCCCATCGCCGCCCCTATCGGCCCCGTCGCCGCCTCCTCGCGGCCCCGTCGCCGCCCTTCGCGGCCCCGTCGCCGCCCCTAGCGGCCCCGTCGCCGCTCTTCGCGGCCCCGTTACCGCCCTTCCAGGCCCCTCGCGGCCCCTTCGCGGCCCCGTTGCCGCCCCTAATGGCCCCGTCGCCGCCCTTCCAGGCCCCTCGCGGCCCCTTCGCGGCCCCGTCGCCGCCCCTATCGGCCCCGTCGCCGCCGCCAGCGGCCCCGTCGCCGCCGCCAGCGGCCCCGTCGCCGACCTCTCAGGCCCCTCGCGGCCCCTTCGCGGCCCCGTCGCCGCCCCTATCGGCCCCGTCGCCGGCGCCAGCGGCCCCTTCGCCGACCCTAGCGGCCCCGTCGTCGCCTCTATTGGCCCCGTTGCCGCCGCCAGCGGCCCCGTCGCCGCCGCCAGCGGCCCCGTCGCCGACCCTAGCGGCCCTGTCGCCGCGGCGACGCCCATCCCCGGGCCCCCAGGGACCCCATCGCGGCGCCCCCAGGGACCCGTGCGCGGCTCCCTATTGCCCGTCGTGGCGCCCCCCTTTGACCCGTGCACCGCCCTTGGGGAGCCGCGCACCCGTCCCCGTCGACCCGCGCGCTCCCCTCCGTCGTCCGTCGCGGCGCCCCCCGGGACCAGCGCGCAGCTCCCCGTCGCCCTTCGCGGCGCCCCCGTCGACCCGCGCGCCGCCCTCGGGGACCCGCGCGCCCATCCCCGTCAACCCGCGCGCCCCCCTCGTGGACCCACGCGCCGCCCCCGGGGACCTCCGCGGCCGCCCCCGTCGACCCGCGCGCCGCCCCCGGGGACCCGCGCGCAGTCTCCTCCCCGCCCCCCCCCCCCCTCCCCCCCCCCCCCCCCCCCCCCCCCCCCCCTTCTCCTCCACCTCCCTGCTGCGCGTGCAGCCATGGGGTGGCACGTATGGGGGTGGCTGGTATGGGGTGTCAGAATCAGTAGCTAGAATGAAGGAGCCATAGCTAGGGTTTAGGTAGCTAGGCAAGAGAGAATAGGTAAAAGAGGATTGCACTAGCAAGCAGGTGGATACACATAGGAAACCCTAAGGGGCCGTACTCACTATAGAGTACCCCACTGCAGGCTAGACAAACTACACATTCTGACATGGGGGTGGCGGGTGTGTGAGCCGTCCCCTGCTCCTCCTCCTCCTCCGTCTCCCACTGCTGCAGTTGCCGCTGAGGGGGGTGGGTGTGTGGGAGCCGAGGGAGTGGCGCTAGGGGGGTGCCGTGGGAGTGGAGCTAGGGGTGCAGCAAGGGGTGTGTGAAAGGGGTGTAGGACAGTTGGGGGAGGTTGACGGAGGTAGCCGCCGTGACGTCAGCAGCGCCAGTAGTCCAGGGGTCACCTTAGCTCCGGTAGCCCAGCGAGCCTGATGTGCCTGTCGCCCGTGGGTCCGTTGCTCCAGCCGCTCGTCTTAGCCGCGGAGCCAGTGTCTCCAGTAGTCTGGATACCCTTGCTTGTGTCCGGTAGCCCGTGCGCGCCGCTCTTGTTGCCCGTGTGTCTGCGGCTTCACCTGTCGCCTCCTATCTCCACTCCTCTCACAGTCCCCCCTCCTCACTTGCCCTCTATGACTGCCTCTAGTTTTGCTTGTGCTTGTGAACTTCTTATGCGACTGCTTGCTGTGCTGATCATACCCCACTTTGCCTATGGGGGTGTGTCAGAATGCAAAAATTGTCTTGTCTGTAGTGGGGTACTCTATAGTGAGTATAGCCCAAATTAGGGTTTGCTATATGCATCCTTCCTGCTGCTAGTGCAATCCCTCTTCTGCTGTTGATTCTTGCTTGCTATCTTGACACGTCATACCTGGTTTCGTCATCAACATTTCCACACCGACGACATTTCGCCTGGACTTCTACATTCAGCGCTCTTCTTTGTGGGACTTAACACTTGGATTTCTGTTGGTTTTCATCTTGGCGCAGAAGTGAAACAATTCTTGGTGTGTTTTCTTGGAGGGGGGGAGAAAGTGCTCGGCACTTTTTCTTTCCTCGGCTTTTCCTACGGTACTCTTCTGACTTTGTCGGAATGCAGCAGCACGGCGGACAATCGCAATTCCTTCATCGAAATCTACGGCTCATGACCTTCGCGATTGAATTTCGTGTCAACTGCTTCCCTCCAAAATTGCGTCAGCTTTCGACCGTCAGATCTACACCGGTCGATCTACTTGTAATTCAATTTGGGCCAGTTCATCCTCGTCCGTCGGATCGAAATTTGACTTCATCAACGACCTACATTCCAACCTTTTCTTCAAATTCGCCTAAGGCATTTGAGCCGTCGGATTCAGCTGAAGAGGAGATTAACGGTATCCTCGCTAGTGTGGGGTCTATTTTCAGTACATGGCTGCCTTATTTAGAAGGTGGGAGAGTGTAAGGATTTACAAATCCTTACTGAGGCACTCGTTAGCGAGGCCATTCCGAGGGTCACGCGACGAACCTTTTTTGCCTATTTTGTCGCACCGAACCACTCCCGAGCCGCCTTCGCACAAATCGCAACTAGGGCCTCAAATATCAGGAAAAAAACCCTGAAGATCCTGATTTTGGCAGTCCTTTTTTTACCTACACTGAAAAATCAGTGTTGAGATTTTTGTGGGACTGATATTTCAGCCTTTTTTGTTAGGCCACACTAAAATTTCAGAATTTTTTTCCCAAGTACATGTCAGAATGTTATAATTGTCTAGCGTGCAGTGGAGTACTCTATAGCGAGTACAACCCAATTAGGGTTTCCTATATGTATGCCAACTGCTGCTAGTGCAACCCTCTCTTCTTCATTCCTCATTCTTCACATGCTATCAGAGCATCTACGCTCCTGGCCTATGGGCCCACCTAACTGCTTCCGCTGCTACTCTGTGTGTTGCACGCCCTGTGGCATGCGACGGACTTTTTTTTTTTCTTCCCCTGCTAGAGGCCCCTCTCACGGCCCCTCGCGCCGCCCCTAGCGGCCTCGTCGCCGACCTTTCAGGCCCCTCGCGGCCCCTTCGCGGCCCCGACGCCGCCCCTAGCGGCCCCGTCGCCGACCTTTCAGGCCCCTCGCGGCCCCTTCGCGGCCCCGTCGCCGCCCCTAGCGGCCCGTCGCCGCCCTTCCAGGCCCCTCGTGGCCCCTTCGCGGCCCCGTCGTCGCCCCTAGCGGCCCCGTCGCCGACCTTTCAGGCCCCTCGCGGCCCCTTCGCGGCCCCGTCGCCGCCCCTAGCGGCCCGTCGCCGCCCTTCCAGGCCCCTTGCGGCCCCTTCGAGGCCTCGTCGCCGCCCCTATCGGCCCCGTCGCCGCCACCAGCGGCCCCGTCGCCGCCCCTAGCGGCCCCGTCGCCGCCCCTAGCGGCCCCGTCGCCGCCCCTATCCGCCCTGTCGCCGCCTCCAGCGGCCCCGTCGCCGCCACTTGCGGCCCCGTCGCCGCCCCTTTCGGCCCTGCCTCGACCCCGCCCCGGCCCCGCCCCGGCCATGCTCCGTCGCCTGTCGCGGCGCACCGGGGGGCCGTGCACCACCCCCCCCCCCCCCTCTTTTCCCGTCGCCCATCGCGGCTCCCTGGGGGGCCGCACGCAGCCCTCTCAGGTCGCCTCGATAGGCGACGGGAGGGACGACCTTGGGGGGGGGGGGGGGGGGGCGAGCGTCGCCCCTTCTGCCGCCTATTTTGGCGCCCTGGGAGGCCGCGCGTCGGCCCCCCACTCCCCCTCCCCCCCCCCCCCCGTAACCTCCCTACCCGCCGTCCCGCCCTGCCCTGTGTTAGGGTCTGGGGGTGGCGAGTAGGGGGTGGCGGGTGTGTGGTCTCCCCTGCTCCTCCTCCTCCTCTGTCTCCCACTGCTGCAGCTGCCGCTGAGGGGGGTGGGTGTGTGGGAGTCGACGGAGTGGTGCTAGGGGGTGGGGTGTGAGTGAACCTAGGGTGCAGCAAGGGGTGTGTGAAAGGGGGGTGCTGTGGGAGTGGAACTAGGGTTTGAGCAGGGGGTGTGTGTCGAGGGTGTGGGGCAGCTGGAGGAGGTTGTGTGAAGGTAGCTGTCGTGTCGCCTACAGCGCCTGTAGTCCGTCGCCCTTGCTTCGGTAGCCAGTGAGCCTGTTGCAGCAGTCGCCAGTGGGTCCGTTGTGTCAGTAGAGCTACACTGTGAGATCCCCGATCGATCCTAGGGGGGGTTACAGGCGCGTTTGCCTGGGGGGTTATGGGCGCACTGACCCGCTACTGAAACAAGCCCTTTTATCCCAATGGTCTAGTGGTTGGAATTCTGACATGGTATCAGAGCGGTCTTGGGTTCGAATCCCGGTGTATGCACATGTTGGCCGTTGCCACTGTGCTCAGTCCTGGGCCTCCCAGTATGGGGGGGTGTCAGTAGAGCTACACTATGAGATCCCCGATCGATCCTAGGGGGGGTTACAGGCGCGTTTGCCTGGGGGGTTATGGGCGCACTGACCCGCTACTGAAACAAGCCCCTTTATCCCAATGGTCTAGTGGTTGGGATTCTGACACGTTGCTCCTGCCGCTCGTCTATAGCCGCGGAGCGAGTTACTCCAGTAGTCCGTCGCCCTTGCTTCGGTAGCCACTCAGTCAGCCGCTCCTGTGCTCGTGCCTCTGCAGCTTCAGTCGCTGCCTCCCATCTTCTCTCCCTCCACAGTTCCTCCTCCTCCTCACTTGCCCGCTGTGATTAACTCTAGCTTTACTCGTTATTGTGAACTCCTGCTCTATGCCTGCTTGCTCATTGTGCTGATTACACCCCACTTTGGCTATGGGAGTGTGTCAGAATGTTATAATTGTCTAGCCTGCAGTGGGGTACTCTATAGCGAGTACAACCCAATTAGGGTTTCCTATATGTATGCCAACTGCTGCTAGTGCAACCCTCTCTTCTTCATTCCTCATTCTTCACAGTACACTGATTCCACAGCGTTGTAACCAAACTAACACTGAAAGCAATACTCACTTGTTCTGTGTGGACTTGCCCGCAATTACAGGGAATCTCAGATTCGTGCGATGCCAGCACTCCATTGGGCAGGTTCGCTGCAGCATAAAGTGTTGGCTAATCACAATGTGGCAACCATGTGGTTCCGGAGGGCTGCGAGGGTTCCTGCACCGTTGGCTGTGTTGGCAAGCACTGATGGTCCCATTCCCTCCAATCTAATCTCTGTAAAATTATATATATATATGCTTGTTTAGGTTATCTAGGCTCACGCCTATCACCCGCAGTGGTGGTCAGGGCCAGCAGCAGCAGCAGCAGCGTCAGCGCAAGACCCCCACTTTCCAGCAGCTTCTTGACTGGTATGCCGGGCGTGGGGCTTCTTGGGGTCCTGGTTGCTGCCCCTATATCATCCGCACAGCTCCCCGCGCTAATCGCCAGTGCACAGAGTTTCACACTGAGCAGCGCTGCTTCGCTCGACTTAGCGACGCGTGGCGTGCTAAGTTTCCTGATGCTACTGAGTTCCCCAATTGGGCAGACATGCTTAGGCGTGATGTACCAATCTTTGATCTTGACGATGAGGCTATTCTAGCTGCTATGTATGCATTGTCTGTTAGTGCTGAGGGTGACTGCTACTTGTGTGTGCCGCCGGATCCTGGTATAGCCCCTGCTGCACTAGGTGCTTGTGAGTCTGCTCCCTTGGTACTGCGCCTGCATAGGCCTTGCACACCTTTACACTTGACTCTGGTGCTTCCCGCTGTTTCTTTCGCGATAGTACCACAGTCACTCCCCTTCCTGCACCTGTTCCTGTCTCACTGGCTGACCCCTCTGGGGGCCCAGTGCTTGCACGGTCTTCCACTGTGCTTCCGTGTCCCGCGGTCCCGTCTGGTGAGCTGTCTGGTCTCCACCTCCCCTCGTTCTCTACAAACTTGGTGAGCAACACTGTCCTCGAGGATGCGGGTGTTGACACCTTCACCCCTGGCCGACAGCGTGTGGCGATGTGCACGTGCTCCCAGACCGGCCGCCACCTGGCCACGTTCACCCGTGGGCCAGGGTCCAGTCTGTACACCCTCACCACT